GGAATATTCATAATAATTATAGCGCGTTTTTACTTGGTGTAAAAGCGAACTTGTTTTGCACCAATAGAACCATTGGAATGGCATCATTTTCTGTTGGTACCAATGGACCATTGGAATTGCCCTGTACCCAACCAGACCACATGAGAAAATAATCTAAGTCCCCTTAATGAGATGCATATTCACCAATAGAACCATTGGAATAGGGTGCTTTTCTATTGGCTGTATTGGTACCAATTGACCATTGGTACCAATCGACCATTGGAATTGCCCTGTACCCAGCCAGACCACATGAGAAATTAATCTAAGTCCCCTTAATGAGATGCATATTCACCAATAGAACCACTGGAATAGGGTGCTTTTCTATTGATACCAATCGTACCATTGGTACCAGTCGATCATTGGAATTGCCCTGTACCCAACCAGACCACATGAGAAAATAATCTAAGTCCCCTTAATGAGATGCATATTAACCAACAGAACCATTGGAATAGGGTGCTTTTCTATTGGTACCAATCGTACAATTGGTAACAATGGACCATCGGTTTCACGAATCGTATCCGTTTGTGTATATTGGACATGTGTGGAGGGCAATGTAGAGGTTTAATCCAAGACGTAACCAGGACGTAACCGAAGAAATTCACACAAAGCACTTGTATTTAAGCCTAAGCTAATGATGCGATACAGATCACATCATAACTCAACAAGTCAAAATAACCGAATACAAAAATCATTTCTGAACGACTATAGGTGGAAATGGAAGCTTGTAGTGAAACATTAATTACATTAATAAAGTTTACACAAGTTCGTCACAGGTTGATTATAGCTTGGAGGCTACTACAATCATGACTCGACAAATAAGTTTACGCTCAATAAATATCAACAGGTTGTTTACGGTTTAGAGAAGCTAGGACTAAAAAATAAATAATTTCTACATTGGCTTTTCATATTTTTATCAGCGAAAACAAAATAACTTAAAAACAATAAATTCTCTCTTCACATTCCTCCACCTTAAGTTTCAGCTGTCCTCAGCTGAGTGGAGAGAAAAAAAATGAAGTTAAAAAGATAATTGTCTTAAAGAGAAAAAACAAAAGCGCAGCGAATAAAACTGGAACCTTGTATTTTGCGTTTAGTTTTGAATTTTTTTTATTATTGTTTTTCTGGTTTTTGAAATTTTGTATTTGATTTTGTGCTTGAACCGCGGCATAAACCGAACTAGCCTGAATATAGTGGCCTCGGGGGTCCAATTAACAAAGCAATAAAATAGAGTACGCTACCTGGAATTTGTAGCGTTTGTGCAAAAGACACTTCGTGAGGTCAATTCATGTGGCTTCTTTTTTTTTTGGCAAACTTGCGTAGAGCCATCCGTTCACGCGGTGTCACAACAGGGCTGAAGACGCCGTGAGATAGCACAGCTAATACCAGATGTTACTTTGAGTGCGTATGACTGATTTAGTATAGAATTTACCCTGTTCCTGGGGTTGTTTCAATTGCCCAACAAGGTCTCTCAGGTTCTCACACTGTCCTAAGAAACCGAATCGTTTGTCTCCGAGTTCCTCGCTGTGTATCGATTGCCGACACAAAGATCTAAGTTGTGAAGGGGAGGGGTGACTGAGTTGGCCAAACAGTAAAAAATTACCAGAGGTCGAGACCTCCTGGGGAGCTAAGTTCCACAGGTAAATATTAAAGCTAACTAGCCGACCTAAAAAACTGGAGAAACTGAATTAAGTAGTCGTATTTATACGCAGTTAAACAAATGAATTCTGCGACAGGAAAAAGGAGTACAGTAAACGGCAGAAGTACGACCAACTTGCAGATAAAAGTTGCCAACAATAGACTGAAATAAGAAAACTTGATATTGAAGCAAAACGCACGCGAACAAGCCTATGAAATAGCAGTCCTACGCATAACTAAAAGCGAGTAAATGTAAAACTACAAAATTAGTGACTTAACCCAGTAATTGAATAAGCAATTTGACTACAAAATTAGAATTAAGACCCTTGTAGACAGTAATTGAAGCTAAACCAAGACAAGACGGAGGTCATGCTCATCCACTCAAAGTATCGTCCCTCTCCATCCTTTCAGTCCTGATGTGTTGGTGATGAGAGCGTGGCTGCCTCTCAGTCGGCTAGGAGTCTTGGTGTTATCTTTGATGAGCACATGTCTTTTCATGCACATGTGTCTAGCATCTTTAGATCATCATTTTATCATCTCAGGAACCTATCTAGAATTAGGAAGTATTTCACTAAAGAATCAGCAGAAGTTGCTGTTCATGCATTTGTCACATCGAAACTAGATTACTGTAATGCATCACTATACGGCCTACCTAAGTATCAGTTACAAAGACTGCAGTATGTACAAAACACGGCGGCTAGACTGCAAGTGAGTAAGTTTCAGCATATCACACCTGTTTTGTGTGAGCTTCACTGGCTATACCGATTCAATATCGTATTATTTTCAAGATTCTGCTCCTCGTGTATAAACACTGAATGGGACATCGCCTAGCTATTTAGCTCAGAAACTACATTATCGTTCTCATACTAGATCATTGAGGTCTGTTAGTAATGAACTTTTAATGCAACCTA